AAGATCGCCGCCTAAGATTATTGGCCTTAAGGGACCGTTTCTCCACTACCAGGTCCATTGCAAATGAATGGTTTGCAGAACACGGAAGACCTATTGGCATGCGAAGTGTTTACCGACGAATGAGAAGTTTTGGCTTGTTTTCATACCAGCCACACTGGGTCCTCCCTTTAACTCGAGAACTCCGACGTAATCGCCTTGAGTGGTGCAGACAACGGTCACTCTGGGATCAGGAATGGAACAGTATTGTCTTTAGTGACGACTCTCGATTTTGTTTAGGCATGCACGATGGTCGTGCCAGGGTTAGAAGGCGACGTGGTGAAAGGAGGAATCCACAGTTTTTTGTTGAAAGACATGTTCATCACACTGTTGGAGTTATGGTTTGGGGTGCTATAGCTTATGGTTCCAGGTCACCCTTAATCTTCATCAGAGGTAACATGAACGCGCAGCGTTATATCCACGAAGTTCTAGAACCCCATCTTTTACCCTATCTTGATATCCTGGCAGATCCAACTTTCCAACAAGATAATGCCCGACCACATGTTGCAATAGTCACAATACATATAGACTTCTTTCAACATAATGATGTCACATTATTACCATGCCCACCAAGATCTCCCGACTTATTCCCAATTGACCACGTGTGGGATATGATGGGTAGGCGATTGCTCAATTTGCAACGTCCTCCTCAGACTCTAGAAGCACTTCGAGAGGAGTTGGTGGTTGCCTGGAATGAGATACCACAGGAGGACATTGACCACCTGATCAGAAGCATGCCTAGACGCGTTGGAGAATGCGTAGCAAATCAGGGTGCATCCACACATTATTAAAGGTGAAAGGGCTTTAAAGCATTGCAATCATTTTGAAATTTTTATCATTTACTTATTATGCTTCATTAAGTACTTATACAAAATTTTATTAAAATAAAACCATTTAAGCTGGGTGTTCGGATTTATATGTCACTTAGTATATTAACTAACCCATCACAGGCGGAAGTATTGGTAACATACTTGATAGATTTTGAGCCTTTTTGTATAACTTTGCGAACTCATAATTATATGAAGTTGGCAGCACCAGGGGCACAAGTAGATAGTTTGCACTTCAAAATAAAGATGACACTAAGCAGATTAAGTTGTAAATGAGTTACACTTTTTGCAATGTAACATAACTGGGACTTTACTTCCCACGCCTATTGGCGGGGAACTATTGTAATCACAAAAAAAAATCGAAAATAATATATTGTTTTTTTGTTCTAGGACATGTACATCACGAAAAACCATGTTACTCATTTCCGTCTGTCAATCTGTCCGCTAATCTTAGCTTGAGAAGTACCGCTCGAATTTCGATGAAATTTTTACACAATGTTACTACTATGCCAAGCATGTAGAAGCTTTGTAGTTTTTAAAAATCAGTCTAGTGGCGGCAGAGAAAAAGGTCAAAAACGAAAGAGAATGAAAATCGTTTTTTTTTTGACGTTTCAGAGGATCTTGATCATTTTAGACGTGAAAAAGCTTGGTACTTGGGGTTGTGGGGGTGGGGAGGGTCATCTCAATTTTCTGATGTTAGTACATTTATACGCTCCCTGGCAATTCTATGCATCATAGTGTTTCCTATGCTCTGACCGCACTGCCGCGTCTGGCGGGGTTAGGTATCGCGGAGAGGCGACGTTTCCAGGTGCACTACCGGAAGGGCAGGGAAAGAATGTCCTACGACTAATTGTTTGGACCTGTTTGAATGATTTTTTTCTCGGAGGGTATGGTTTGTGCTGGACATAATCCTTTATGAACTGATAACGGCGTTACGTGGGAAGTGTGGAGTCACCCTACTTGACGCCATTTTTTATCGTTCATATACTTTAGTTTTTGATAAAAGTCACTGGTAGATAAATCGTTTATAAATATTGAAACTTTCCATTTCTACAGATACGACCGAAAATATTTGTGATATCCATATTTTTGATTTTCAAATTTTTTTATCGTCTGCAATATTCATTTATGGGAATTCCGCAAACAGTTCCAAATATTTGAGTACTCATGATCAAATAGCATGATCAAATATTTGTAGTTCGAATATAGATAAAAAAGAGCTTTTCATTTATCTGATGACACTTATCAATAAGAGTATGCATTTATCTGACTTGTTCAAGTATTTTGAAATGGATTATTAAAAACTATGCCATATCCATTTGAATTACAATAAAACGTCTATAGCAAACAGTTTTCAGGCCAGGAAATTGGTAATTTTTTTCTATAACTTTGGAGACAGCAATTTTTTTGTGATATCGTTAAATTCTTGCTTCCTAATGATAGGCCTGGGGCATTTGCCGCCAAAAGTAATACAATGAACTTTGCAGGGAATTAAATTCTTTATCATTTTGCTTCTATGAAAATTTGTCCTATAGTATACAGGTTGCGAGAAATTTAAGGGTAAAGGTATATGTAATATATTTTCCTTTACCTTTACTATTTAATTCAAGGTAATCTGTTGACCATACGACGAATTCTTATAGAAGAAAAATGGATGGATTTTTTACATATATTATGATCGATGGTTTTCAACATTTTCGATCAAGCACGTTTATCAATATGGCGGCAAATGCTCCAGCCTTATCATCACGCCAATTTGAACTTATCATTAGGAAGTAATAATCGACTCATACTACCATTCAAATTTCAATTTCAAAGTCTATATATCTTTGTTTATATACACGTGGCAATTGCACTCTTACAAGGTCAAGCTGTTGTGTCTTATATCATTGTCTTACGAGATAGACAACATGGCTTCTTTTAGATATCGAAGCACTATTTCTCCAATTCAGATTCATAAGCAATGCACATGCAGCGTTTGTAGTCGAAGATTGCATAACAATTATACCGGTGTGCCGCGACAAGAGTGGGTGGGTGGGTTTTCATGTTCTCGGAGGACTCCTAGCGTTTTTGCCTTATCATCACGCCAATTTGAACGTATCATTAGGAAGTAATAATCGACTCATACTACCAAACAAATTTACTGACGCGCGATTGTAGGATTTTTTTATACAAAATCTCCCTATTTCAAAGTCTATATATCTTTGTTTATATACACGTGGCAATTGCACTCTTACAAGGTCAAGCTGTTGTGTCTTATATCATTGTCTTACGAGACAGACATGGCTTCTTTCAGATATCGAAGCACTATTTCTCCAATTCAGATTCATAAGCAATGCACATGCAGCATTTGTAGTCGAAGATTGCATAACAATTATACCGGTGTGCCGCGACAAGAGTGGGTGGGTGGGTTTTCATGTTCTCGGAGGACTCTTGGGAGAATATCCCGATGCTCGTTTGTCGCTTTGGGGGAGTGGACGTCCTTTTGGAAGCGTGTTAGAGGGCCGTTTCATCTATTGTCACAACACACTGTATATGAATGAAGAGAAAAAGAAAAAATAAACGTACTGTCATTGGAAGACAGATAAACAAAATACTGTTATTGTTGTCATTGTGCTTGAAAAAGGCCACCGTGGAGGCCGAAATGTATATACATATGTGGTTTAATTCGGCCAGACATTGGAGTCCTATTCTTACATGGGTAGTTTGAAACATACAGAGACTAAGACTAAGATAAAGTGTGCCTTTTTAAAAGCTACAACAGAGTGTTTATAACCGTTTCTCTACACTAACAACTTTGAGTGAAACAGAATAAAGTTTAAACTTTCCTATATCGACCCAGTCGTTAATAATGCACAGTTTGGGAGCGTATAGATTAAATATTAGAATATGCTATTTATTAATTTTATACAAGCGAAACTTTCTAGTTTTATACATTTTGAAATCCAGGATTGTTTTACTGTAAACCTAAACGATGTGTCCTCATTTTAAAACCCAGCTTTCGGACTCATTGTTAATTTGACACTGATCTTGAAGAATCCGGCAATTATCGCGTCACAGGTTATTAACATTATACTAAGTACTTACAACCTTTTGTAACGCTTATGTTATAGTACTATAAAAAATATTTTTATATATTTTTAATGATTCAATTCTCTCCTATGAAGTAGCCGTGCTGCAAGTGGCTGCAATACGAATCTGTCTTCGTATAAAATTAAAAAATTTCCACATATATCTCACGTGCTTGCCTAATGTTAACATACTTTCGAGGCATTTCATTGCAACTTGATATGGCTTTTGGCTTTGGCGCGTCAAGGACGTTTTCGGTCTTCGAACATGTTTACAATCAAATTGTTTAAATCCACTCTGTTTTTTAGACTGAATGTTGAAATTTGCTATTAAGATATGACTAATAATATTTTACGACTGGGGATGAAGTCCTTCGTACTGTTTACCGACACATGCCCACAATTTTGTGTTTGTGAGCGATTTTATTAAAAAAGCCTGGAGTCAAATCAGTTGTGTTAAGAGTAAAGGTTACATAAACAGTCATATTAATGCGCATCTGTTTAGAACTAGTTTTCATATTTGTCTTTTCTTGTAAACTAATATAGATTATCAGTTAAAACTTGATATTTGCGTATTATCGAAATCACACTGATCATAATGTTCCAGCAATCTTTACACGGCGTAGTTCTAAAGCATTGGACTTTCATCCGAAGAATCTTTAAGTTAGATTGGCGTATCAAGTTCGACTTGTCCACGAGTTACAACCTACAGATCTCCTTAAAACCGCGCGGCAATGTTTGTATTGAGACATCTTTTTCTAAAACGTCCAATTCCACGATTCTCTTATACGATCTGCTAGACCTACTAGATTTCCTTATACTGTGCCAGACTTGTTTCTATAGACCAGTTAGAAGAAGGAAGATCATATACGGTAGGTTATCGCAAGAATTCCATCACAAATGTTTGATCAGGTGATGGAAAAAATTATTACGAGGGATGTCTTTCAAGTTTTGCATATAGAAACATAGTAGGCCGCGCGGATGGAACGTCAGTACTGAATCTTAACCTCACTCTTTAGTAAACTTAAATACAAAGTTTCACAACAATACGTGCAGTGTTTTCACTACAATGAATTTTCAAGTATCACCAGGTTATTAGAAAAATGTAATTCAACCGAGAACATTTTCGCGCCATAATTTATTACAACTTTCAGAGACAATTATCGCAACAAGAATGCCTTGCTGAGTTACTGTCTGTTTTCGGCAACGAAGCGCCACATCAGTCGACAATTTCCCGTTGGTATAGAGAATTCAAACGCGGACGGGTGTTTAAGACGTCCTATGAAGATCTCAAAGACCTCAATTCAAAACATTTTACATGAAGAATTAGGAGTAAGAAAATTAGTTTCTCGTTGGATACCCCACCTGTTGACTGAAGAGCAGAAAGCTGCCAGAGTCAATTGGTGTCAAAAAACGCTTGACCGTTTCAATTCCGGAAACTCAAAAAATGGGTACACATTGTTAGTGGTGATGAATCGTGGATTTACCGTTATGAACCAGAAAATAAACGGCAGTCGGCTGTTTGGGTGTTCCAAGATGAAGAAAAGCCAACAAGTCATCCGTTCTCGAAGTGTTTCGAAAAAGATGGTCGCGACATTTGTGTCAAAAGCGGGTCATATTGCAACGATTCCTCTTAATGAGCAAAGAACTGTTACTGCTGATTGGTATACCATCATTTGTTTGCCTAAAGACATCACCGAGCTTCGAAAAATCAACCCCGAAAGAAGAATCCTCCTCCAAGACAATGCAAGCTCACACACAGCCCAAAAAACAAGGCAGTATTTAACGGAAGAAAACGTGGAATTATTGGACCATCCTCCATATAGTCCCGATCTAAGTCCTAACGATTTCTTTACTTCCCCGAAAATTAAAAACAGACTGCGTGGTCAAAGGTTCCAGTCACCAGAAGAAGCAGTTGACGCATTAAAATATGCCGTTTTGGATCTGCCAGCAAACGAGTGGAATAAGTGCTTCGAAAATTGGTTCGAGCGCAAGCAGATATGTATTAATCTTCGTGGAGAATACTTCGAAAAACAATAAAGTCATTTAAAACTACCGACTGTGTTGTTTTATTTCCATATGCAAAACTTAAAAGACATCCCTCGTAGTCCAAGGAAATAAGGGTTCAATCGGAACCTGTTGGAAAAGCTTTAGAGCATAACGGTCTCTACAAATTTAATATATAATATTTCATTTTTGAGCTAACACTTATGTGCAAGTACTAGATTTTAGCTTGAGGTAAAAAACCGAAAGCTAAAATCTAGTATTTTTCCCGTGTATAATAGGTACACTATTTTTTTCTGTGACTGGAAAAACGACGATTTAATATTGAAAAATTATATTACTACAATATTTAAGTCAGAAAATTATCGACGTGAAATTTGAATTTTCAAATTAGTAGGCCAGGTTGTACTTATAGCGACATTTAGGCCCGTATCGTCAGTCGTCCCTACAATTGTAGGGCGCGTTTATGGCCTCCTTGATTGTCATACTCCTTTCTCTCCAAAAATTTCAAGATTACACTTGTCCCGTGTCAGCGTCAGCGCTCTCCTAATGTGAAGATATGTTTCCTTTTTAAATTGTAGGAAATTTCAGGCTGATAAAACATGATATAACTCAAAAGCAAGCACAATTTGATGCAAATAGATGTTTGTGACATAACCTCAATATAGAGTTCTGACACGGAGAAGTAGAAAACTATGACAATCAAGGAGGCCATAAACGCGCCCTACAATTGTAGGGACGACTGACGATACGGGCCTTAGAGCTGCGTTGCTAAGGAAACTTTTAAAGTAATCAAATAGCTGTCAATTTAATTTTGTGATTTGATTTAACAATTGTGAACTTAGTAGTTGTTTAGAAGTTATTTTTAATACTATAAAATAAAAAATGTTTGACTCCACCGGACTTAGTAGAAGTAGCTAAAGTAGCGTCAGAAAAATTATTGCCAGCTAAATCGCAGAAAATTTACGAAACAGTATCCGGGAAAAAAGTACTCATCTTTTTCCCGGGGAAAACAGTAATTTCATAAAAAGTGACGTTTTAGATAAAATGTCAAACTTTTTTCCCGTCACAGCAAAAACAAATTTGTCCAAAAATATGTTTAACCAGATTTCAACAGGATACCACTCGCTAACTTCTTGATTGTTAAGGGCTAAACAACATGATTACGACAAAAAACAGAATTAGACAAAATTCTCCCACGAATGGGGAGTTTTGCGCCTGTCTATCTATGTAAATTGCCTCGCCAAATAGAATTTACAGTTGATATCCAACAATTGGCGTTTAAGTGTGTTTGCACTGTATATTCATCACTTTCACTGGTGATGTACGCTGTTGAAGTGAAAGTGCAAGAGTGCTCTGCGGTCATGAACATCTAAATTATAGAATATTTATTGATCAATAAATTAAGAATTTTCCAGAATTCCGATATTGTTGCAATTGATATTGTTGATGTATTTGTAAAATTTCATTGAACAGATACTACAGATACGCAATAATATTTTGAGTAGGCGATGCCGTTATCATTTGATAAAGATTACTATAAATTTCCATTCATTATGGAAACTTATTTGTCTGATAATTATCTCAATCGAGTTTCGATCCTAATACTTGTAGTAATTATCCCGATATTTTGCACATACAAAAACACTTCTAGAATATTCTCATCAAATGTACATATTATGAATGTTCTCAGCATGAAGGAAAATTTTTACATTAAGGAAATTGTTGTTTGTAATAATCCGTGTATACTGCGTGTTTACTCCCCATATTTTTGCATCTTTAATCATTTGACCAACTAAAGGATGCGAACCATGGACCCATACATACCTCGTTTAAGATTTATGTGTCTATATAGTTATATTTCTGTTTTGGAAAATAATTTTTTATTTATATGGTATTTAAATTTAATGTATTTGAGCTATACTACTACTATTTTTATTTAATGATGTCGCTATAATTTAAACACTGATTGCTTGTCAATAATGTGCGCATTAAAAGAGAAGTCAAGTAGGTCGACTCAGTTCCACATGGAAAATCTTGAAGCGTTTTCAAATTTCGGATATTTACAGTAATGGACAAAAGTATATAGACAAATTAATATTGTGCTGTATTTCTTTTTTAACTTGTTTTATTAATACACCAACCTGTATACATAATTCGTTATAGCATAATACTCACTTATACATAAATAAATTCATTAGACTCCTTTCAATAAAAAATTAATTGAAATAAACTGGAACTATGAAGGACAAAAATATATAGACAAAGCAAAACAATTATAGAAAAAAGAAGCAAAGTTCATTGAATTATAGAAAACCAACCATGTTTGTGTTTGTAGCACAAGCATTATTATCAATCACCGCCTGGCATCGTCTCGGCATAGATTGTAGAAGTTTCTTGATATATGATTCATCAATCTGTCTCCACTTTTGCTCTAAAGCGGCAGAAAGTTCTTCCTTGTTTGAATAATTTTTATCTCGTATTTGCTTATCTAAGTATTCCCACAGATTTTCAATGGGGTTTATATCGGGAGACTGTGAAGGCCATTTGAGAACTGGTATTTTTTCTTCCAGAAAGAATTTCTTTGCGAGATTCGAAGTGTGCTTCGGGTCATTATCTTGCTGGAAGATTGATCTTAAGGGAATATTGTCTTCCATATAGGGTAACGTGACATGCTTTAGTATGTCTGTGTATAGAAACTTTTTTTTTATACTCCAACTACCACGAAGGCCTAAGGCCTAAACACCCATTGGGTACCGTAGGGCTATAAGGGGATACAGGGGAAAGGGGAAACGCCACACGGACTCTGGCGAGGGAACACGTGTGCATGCAACATGCACACATTCTGGCTCCGCCTATGAGATCCGCCGGGTGGTACCTGCGCGTTCGACAGTCTACCGTCTACCACCTACGGACAATCAAAACATCCATAGCCAAGAGAAAAATTTCTCCTGGGACGGGACTCGAACCCGCACAGCGCACGGCGACTGATCAGGAGACCGAAGAGTCTACTACTGTGCCATCTATTCTATGTAAATGTCCCATCCCAAACCCCGAAAAGCACCCCTAAACCATAACAGACCCGCCTCCACGTTTGACAGTGGGCAAAGTGTACTTGGGGTTCAATCTTTTTCCACTAGGACCTCTAACGTAATGAACACCATCTGATCCAAACATCTTGAACTTGGATTCTTCACTGAAACATACCCTCTTCCAGTCACAGATGCTCCAATCAAGATGCAATCCTGCAAATTGTAATCGGTGCTTACTGTTTTTCCTCGAGATTAGCGGCTTCTTACTCGGGCGACGTGCAAATAACTTCAAATCATTTAATCTTCTACTTATAGTTTTCATAGAAACACTGACAATTCCGTTTGTCTCGATTTCGGCTTTTATTTGTCTTGGGGTTTTAAACCGATCTTTGGACGAAATTACTTTTATTAACGTAACTGATCTAGCATTTAGTTTTCTAGGCCGACCACTTCTCTTAGAGGCTTCCAAGATATCTTTTTGTTTATATTTGTTCAATATTGCCCAAACTGCTTTACGCTTCAGCTTCAAATTTTTGGCAATGTCGACTTTGTATAACTCAAGTTTTCACATCGAACGAAATTTCTGGACCACGCGGCATGGTCTTAAAATCACTCAACTTATTCCACAATTGTTGATGAACACATGCTAATCCTCTTCTGACACGAAACTGTACTAAACTAATGTTGAAAATAATCTGTCTACATATTTTTGTCCCTCATAAAAAAGTGCTTATATTCAGACTTGTATTGTGTTCATTGCAGATAATCTAAAAACAAGGAATTTAGTTTTTATACTAATAAAGCATTTCTTTAGGGAGCAATGAAGTATGAATTCGTTTTCTAAAGGTATTTAGGTAAATATTCATATTTGTCTATATACTTTTGTCCATTACTGTACATGACCTTTGGTACTCAAAAAGTTTTAAATAGACTCGCAGTAAGTCAAGAAATCAAGTTTTGAAAGATTTTCAGTTTATTATTATGTTAATATCCTGCTTCCTAAATAGATGCGATCGTTACCGAAACGAGGTTCTAGAGTCCACAGCTGATTGGGAAGGCTAAAGAAAAATAAATAACTGCAACTACATATGTAAAAAGTGGTTGACATATTTAAAGATATAAATAAAAAATCAAGCGATGCAACGTTTCAAAATACTGTAATGTCAAACATTTTATGGTCTTAGGTACAAGTTTCTGTTATGTGCTACTTAAGTAGATATTACTTATTTTCTAATACCAGCACTTTTATTAAATATTTGAAAATTATTATTATCAATTGACGTAATTATGCAAAAGCTAAATTTTTACACAACAGCTGTTTTCAGCAACTTATAATAGTCACTAATTTCCACTGTTGCCATCCGATATTGAAATCGCCGATTACGACTTTTTTCAATGTGTACACGAATTTCCAAATGAAGAATTTCAACTAATTGCGATATCACTTAATTGTCTATACGCCTGTCGGTTACGTAAAAAGCGTGTTAAATCAATCCTTATCCAAGGATAACACTTGCATTGATAAAACGCAAAAGCTTGAATTTAACAATTTGAGGTCAATCAGAAAAACCCGCAATCTTGTTTAGGTTATTTTCAAGAATGATCCAGTACATCCTTAGTTTTTGCCTGCGTGTTGAGAAAAAAAAACGTTTTTGAAATCTGCATATCGAAAGAAAATTTATTTCGTATATAACGTTATGGTCGTCATTATTGAAATGGGTAATAGGGGTGGTCAAAACAAGTCAAAAAGTTCGTACGAGCCACGGTCGAAAAGTCAATAGATTTTTGTCTAAATGGCTTTATAGTTTACAACTTTAAGTGCTTTATATCGACCACAATCACCACAATCTTACTAATTTTTATCATCTAGTCTAAAACGTTTTCAAATTGGGTAATTAAGAAATAAATGGCATTAAGTTTACTAAGTTAAGCCAAAATTAGTAGTCAGTAAGTAAGTTTCATTAAATTAAATATTTAAAACACACATGACAACAGCGCGTCGGT